ATTAAGTATTACACTGAAACGCACAAAAGAGTAAATCGTAAACGTTATTGTTGTATTGATTGAAAATACGTCTCGCTAAAAGATGCGGATAACATCTATTTCTGAAAATTAGGTATCGAAAGGTTTTAATGGCGAAACCCAATCGTTGAAGAAACTGGAACAGGGTGTGAAGGTTTTGGTAATTATTATAAATCGTGGAAATAACAATCCGGTTCCGGACCGTAATCCATGCCAGGTAATGCGACGTGTATTGCAACACAATAGCGGGCTGACCGCAGTTCGCACTTAAACGGTATACGTAAAATGTACACTTTTTCATACCATATAGTCAGCTTTTATACATTTTATAAGCACCCCATGGAAAGGGCTTCTATGTTTATGGCTTATTCTTTCATAAAGTACCCACGACAGAATGTTTTGTTCGGAGGATACTGTTTTTTTTGTCTAACCCCTTTTGCCGCCCTTCAAAGTTTTTCAATTCATATTTTTTACTCCTGTCTAGTGTGTTCTTTAAAAGAGAACGCCTATTTAGTGCGCATATACGAGTTTATGAAATTGGGTCGACAACAAAGCGAATCACTTTTGCTAAAAATTAAAAAAAAAAAAACTTATGACTCGGTAAACATTTTTGCACAGGCATGGTGGTTTATTAATTTGGAAATAACAATTATTTTAAAATATTATCTACAACACATGCAATTATTACTTATAAAATATTAAAGAAATATTTTATTACATTATGTTCAAATACCTGTATGGTCAAAATATATTTTATAGCAATTTCACGATATTTTTGAAAATGTTAAAATTTTATTTAATTCGTCATAGGTGAATACAATGTATGTTTTTTGTTGTAATTGTTATTTTATTATAATAACTAACTTAACACACATGCTACTAAGACCAGATAAACGAATGAGGTAAATTATAGACGAGGCAAAAGCGTAGGTTGTACCTATTTTAAACTAAGTAAACATTAGTAACAACTAACAATAGGTATTATAGTTTTATAATAGTAATGATAGACAGATTATTGACTATTTATAGTTATAAATTGGGAGTTGCTTGGAATTAATTAAAATAAACGGTCGTCTAAAATATATGGAATAATATACATAAAACATAACAATAGTTGTGTAGTAAATATAGTATATAGGTATCATTTAATGTTTTAAATTATTGTCATAATATGTCTTATCTATTCATTTACAATCAACACAGTTCTGATAAGGACTCCTCCTTTGATAATGGTTTGCTTTAATATTTTTATTTTGTTTTTGTCATTTTTTGTTTGTTTAATTGGTATTTTAAATGCCTTACTATTATAATCTTCATTGTTATTCGTACTGTTACTCCAATGTTATATATAAAAAAGGGGAAACCCGTTTAATTTGTAATAAATAAATAAATATATGTGCATATTTTGATAAATTATTTATAGGTATATGTCTAAATGTTATCTAAAAGCAACATTATTATTGTTTTTGCAAAATACATACAACTCAAATTGTCTGTGTGCGTTGAGTACATATGTAATACACGTTGAGTAACAACTATGATATCGGTTACGCAATGTTTTAAATGCTATGATAAAAATGCAGTTTACTGTTTCATTAATTTAAATAATTGATAATTAATAAAGAGGGATTTATGTCGTCTTGTAAAAAATAGTAAATATTTTTTTTAAATTTAATTTTCCAAAATTAGCTTTTGTGTTAGTAATTACATTGATTGTAGATTTATTCAAAGTAATAAAAATATTATTACATATTATATTACAGCATATAACTATAACCATTATTAAACAAAATCTATAAAATATTCTACAGGATAAAAGATATTGTGTTAATCAAAACAACATGACACAGGCTATAACATTTTTATTGAAAACTTGGCCATTCTTAGTGCTGTGCATATTTTAATGTACCTCCTTATATTTCGCATTCTTGCCTTAAGTGTTTTTTTAATTTCGAGAGTAAAGAAAATATAAAATCAATTATTTAGTCCTAATCAAATGTTGCACGCAGTCGTTTGTATACTAATTGAAATGATAATAATAAAGGTTTATTTTTTCTACTTTTCTATCCATTGTAATCTCGACACCCCCGAAAACTAATATAAAGTCACATTAAACTAGTTATAACAAAATAACTACGTTTCTAATATTATATTATATCGAATGACGCGGCGAAAATAGTTGAAAATATTTAAGTTTTACATACTAAAAACGAATAGTCCATTATTATCTCTAACTCCGAAAAAAAAATGTTTGAAAATCGGTCTGGAAGTGTAGAAAATTAGTAAAAAAATACATTAAAAAAAATAGAGTAAGCAATAAAAATTGAAATTTGTTTTTGCTCTCCTCGAAAATTGCAAAAACTAAATTACGATTTTTTTCTCTGTGGTAGTAGATATTAAAAAAATTATATAAAACTAGATAAAAAAGCATTTTTTAGTCGAGTCTGCAACCACGAAAGAGCATTTTTATGTCTCGTTGAAGTACCGAATAAATTTAGAGTGTGGTGAAATTATAGATAATGAAATAGTATAACAACAAGCAGTAACAAGCTAGTATCTAAGGTGGCTAGTAAACATATCAAGTTTCTGGCTAATATTTTAGTGTTTTCATAATATCTGGACTAAAACAACCCCAACCTCATCCCTATCCCTCATCTCTCATCTCTTATCTCTTATCAGATACCAGCGTAACAAGTTTCTCGTCACAAGTTTTTGTAACACAAATAGTTAACGGAAAATCAGTCAGATTTTAGTTATAGTCCCTTTTGGGCGACATTCACAATACATAATAATATATGGTTTATTTAATTGGAAGTGGAAGTCCACTTCTATCCTTGACAAATTATGAGTCATTATTATTGTTAGCACGTCTAATAAATTGTCCATCTAGGGTGTATTTAGGTCAACAAAGCGTGTCAATCAGAATCAATAATATGCTTAAATAACAAAGGTAAAAAATCAATTAATAACCATTTACTCACACCGCTGGCTTGTCCCAAGGTCTATGGTTGACCCTTTCAAGGCAACTCTTGACATAGTGATAGGTCACTTGAAAAAAATGACATTAGCATAGTATAGTAGCATTGTCTGCAATTTTTGGAGAATACAGAAATTATGGTAATGAACGATAAATACTTAGCTCTATTTTAAGATACGTGAGGTTTTGATTTTTGATTGAAATTTGAGAGTTGGGTAAAAAATAAAATAACATACAATCTAATTGGTATATGTATGAAATACCTTGTATCTAAATTTAGCTTTCAAGTTTATTATAATATATACAACGGTTTTCTAAATAATGAAATTATGAAATCATTATTTCATTACTTCCCAGTTTTTTTAAAAATAATTTTACTTTTTTATAAGTATATTATATACATCTATACTTATATATATATATTATATTAATAAAAAGCTAAGTGCCCTATCTTATTTGCGTCGGCAAATAACGAGAAGTGATGCGTTTTGAAATTAAGCATTGAAATAATAAATTACCGGTTACTTCTTGAAGTCCTCGCCGGCTTATAATTATGTCGTGTTTAAGGGTTTCCAATCGAATTATGTTTTATCCTCGACGGTAGAGACTTCTTTCAATGTTAAAAATCGAGTATCATTGAACAAGTGTTGTGAAAAGCTGTCGTTGATATTATACACGTTTTCAAGTGCCGGTAAAAATATGATGATATTACACGACGTATCATCCAAAATACAATTACAGTAATCTTAAAGTGACAGAATTAGGTATTATGTGCTTCGACAGTTTAGGTGAGAAGCTCGAGCATGTTTTCTGGTGGATGTGCGCGAGAATGAACGAGTTTCGGCCGGCCGCCGCGCCGAGTGCGTTCTCTCGTAGCACGAAGTGTAGCGTTTTACACAAAAAATCAGCCACTGCGATTTCATGAACAAATAAAATTTTGATACCGGTTTATGATCTCATGATCATAAACATATATTTTTTAAAAAAACTTGATTGCGTTCGAAACGTCCAATGAGTGTTCATTTCATAAACAACATGTATAAAATAAGTGATGATTTCGCTAAGTTCAAGGATTTATAGCGCTGAAATCACGAGATGTGGTATTTGAACTATTCAAGATAAACTAAACAATATAACTTCGCAGATTCGTGAGGAGGCTAAATTAGCCTGGCTAATACTACAATGGTTGGAAAAGCTCTAGGGATCAGCTAAACAGAGAAAGACATAATACAATGTGACGTTGTGTGCATTATTCCATTTGCCTATACACTCGACGCGGAAACAAATATCTGATTTAATTTATGGTGGATTTGCATTAAGTGTGATTATAATTAACCAGTATAGTGATCGAATACTATTCTCATGATACACCACAGACGTATACTAACATGGACATTATGGATTTGATTATAAATAAAGCAATTAAGCTACAGTCTACTATGTTTAAGTTCAAGTATTTTTATGTTTGAAATGTATTTTAAGCTAAAAAATGCAACGCTATTTTATAGTTAAAATTTTCGTTTTGTTTGCTTTAAAAAAAAAAAACATTTATTTTTAAAATATGATTTACAAAAACAGCAAATTTCTACAATACTCTTTGGTTTGCTAACCCGTTATTATCGAGGAATAATACTGACGTCTATTGTATAGAGACATTCCATTAACAATATCTTAGGCACAATTATTTAAAAGCATTTTGTATAACTCCATCGGTTTATTACGTTCTGAAACCTGATTGAATAGCGCAGATTTTGATGGAAAGTGTATTGTGCAATTTTGGTGTTTAATTTGTACTGTTATAATGTATATTTTATTTAGTAGGGCGATTTTTTAATTATAGTACTAAGTTAGTAATTATGTTTTCTAATAGTATACCTACCTCAAAAGAATAAGAATATTTAATATTAATTATATACGTGCGAACATATCGCATCTACCTGTTTTTGTATTCATCATGACCGTGACCATAAATCATACTAGGTACACTTAAGTATAAAACACTTACCGTAAAGCATGATCCCTCAGTTGCCTGCTATGTTTTAAATCTTCAATTTCAACGCCTTTGAATGGCATGAATGATTGTTGAACATCCGGATGGGTTTCAAAAAGACTAAAAAATAAATACATTTTTCATTTAAAATGCAGTTTAATGCAAATCATTTTAATTAATGTTAAATATTCTAAACAAATAGTCAAGCCAAAAAATAGTAATGTCTAATAAAAGGTAAGCTAAGTTATGTATTCGATAAATCCCAATATAAGTAGTCGCTTAGCTCAAAATCTTTTTTTAGAAGATATAAACATCATCAATTAAGATAACGGCTTTTTTTAATCTGATGTAGACTAGGTTTTTTTGTTTTTTGTGTTTATTTCTTAGATCGATAGTTCTCTAAATTACAAAAAAATATAGCAAATGAACAAGCATGAAAGTTTTGGCTTAAACACACCATTATACTTCATTTTATACAATCGTCTCGTTATGAAGTCACAATATAAAATACTACTTGTTTATTACGTGTTTATTTATTTATCGATTTAGGCTTTATTTTTAGGGTTTAATGTATATCATGATTTTTTCAACTTTCTAAAGTTAAGAGAATGGCGATTTGAGAATAGAACCATAGCTAACGGAACGTTACTTAATTACTGAAATAAAAATTTGAAAATAAAGGAAGATTGATGGTAAATTAACCAGAAAAGTTAAACAACTGACTGTTAGAAAATTAATAAATTGCTATTTTTAAAACGTTTAATTTTATTTTTTAAATTGTTTTAATGAAGATGTGACGTTTTTGTTCTTTCTTGGTGCTGTTTTGATACTAATGTTAAATGCTATTGGTAAATATGATTTACAAGTATAATATTTAAGTGATAAATAGTCATCGTTTAACAGTAGTCAATTGTTTACGTCTTATATAGGATTTAAACGATTTTGAACTATGGAGAAATAATTATCTTACAGACCGTTACTATTATACATAGTTGACATGTTCATAGGTACAACAAATGGGGTGTTTGTATCATCATTAATCTTTCTTTGAAAAAAGAAATATCAAATAATAATAGAAAAGTAATATTTTTGTTACAATAACAAACATTTGTAATGGGATACGGTTGAATATAATTTCAAAACTAGATACACCTATTTAAGCACTATAATAAAAATATGTATCGCGATAAAGCTTCGTATTTAAATACTCTTCATTAATATTAACAATATTTCAAAGAAATTATTTCGTAATTATTAACGATTATATTTTATGGTCGCAAAATTGTAATCATCCTTCCATGAAAAGTAATTAATGAAAAATACTCATATAGGTTTTCGACTATATATGAACATATCAATTTAATAAATAAACTCTGAGTATAAATTCGGCAGAAGCGAATTTACATAGGGTAATCAAGGTGATAATATATCACTTCCATAATTTTTAAAAATATACCTGATAATATTTGTTGAATAGAAAACTCTACTTATTTACTTAGAAGTTTTGGACAAAATGTCACAAAAAAAAAAGAACATTCCATTATAATATTAGGTAAAGTATTATATGTTTATAGTAAAAGTATAGCAACTTAATTTCATTAATGTTTTTTCCACTTTACGAACACGTTTTTTGAAAACCTTTTTTGCCACGATAATGAAACTTTTTAAAGAAAGAAACATAGCTCATTTTTTTTTTGGCTCGGCTATGAGGGCATTACGATTTTCACAAAGGAGTGAAGAGGAAATTTTTTGTTGCATATTACCCCCCCCCAGGAGAAATGTGTAAGTACGCCACTGAAATTCGGAATTCCGTAAGGCGAGAACGACGTGAAGAATTGAAATATTAACAGAGGGTCGTCCATGACTTGGCAACTTTAATTTTTTTTTTTAGGGAAGCTAGCTTTCAGTAAATGAGCAAATTGGCCCACGAGAAAGCCGAGAGAACGAAGTCCATTATTATAACGTATTGGGCCGGGAATCCTAATGAGGTCCAGTAATGTAATATAATGGAGACTCCGTGAAATCGTCAGCTGAAGACGAGGGTTTTATTGACCACAATGACGACGGTGGTAATTATGCCATCGGTTTTCTTCGACCGCGATAGTCACGGTAAAGGGCAGAGGTGAGTCCGTAATAAATTATTCAACGGCGTGTACATGAAAGCGTGTAAAAACCAAACAAATGCTTTTCCCTACCCGTCGCCGAAAAACGCCCTAATGAGTTTCTTTTGCGTCGGTCACCCCACGGGTTGACAGCTCCGGCATGGTCGTTACACAAGCAACTTTACACTCGACGGCGGCAAAAGTGTTCTCATCTATATTCATTGAAAAATAGCGTTGCAACGCTAACGCTCATTTCCCCCCAGTATTTATAGTCGTTTACAAAGTTATTTTCCCGTCTTGTAACTCGTTTTAAAAATGCTTATTTATTATGAATGTATTTTACATACAAATTCAAAACTTGGCCATCGTAACTCGACATCTCCTCTATATTGTTGTATAATATTATACCTACACAGCTATACCCAGTGGAAGTGACGTTATTACCTATCGTGCCACGTTAAAGAATAACAATAATCTTTAATTATTCCTACAATACCATTGTTAACATTACAATATAGCGTGTATAAAAACATAATATATTACATCTATTGATGACACGTTGTTGATGATTCGCCTATAAAAGCGTACAATGAATAATTCGACTAAACTATTAGTTGGACATAGTTATTGGAAAAACATCCATATTTTAGAAAGCCGGAAGACTGACAATTGCGTGAATGATTAAAGTGGTGACCAAAATCAATCAATTACAATAAATCAGTACAACAGCGTACCACGTTCTATATTTGTACACGTACGGATTCACAATAAACAACCCGTTTCGGTCCATTGAACTGCCCTTGAAAATTGTAACGTTAAAATCATTTGTTTTCAAAGATTATCCTTTGAATTTCCTCTCGCTCATTAATTTGAAACTTTTGCCAAGAACTTTGAACTAAAATATAACTATTCAACACTGAAACGCTTTTTGCCTAAAGTCGGCTGTTTATGAAAATGTCCCCTGGTAGGAGGCTGCCATTTTGTGTACAGTTATTGTTTTGACCATGATATTTATTGTTTTTCTATGATTTATCAAATATATGACCACAGACTATATGAAAATAGTCTGTGATATGACGCTGTTATCATCACCTAACCTAACATTTTAATAGGTATCATGGAAAAGTAACATAGCATTTTTACTTTCTATGAAATTAGTACACAAAATGGCTGCCTCCCAGAAGGGGATATTTTTCAATCTGAATACGCGTTCTATAAATCAAGCTCAGTTCTATTCAACAACCAGAATTCCAGACAACTGAACAATATTTTTAGACAAACCTCACTAAAGTAAAATATTAGAAGACAAGACTTGGTAATTTATTTTAGTACAAATTACCTACTACTAATTATTCTGGGCTATTTAATTTAACAAAATAGCAGATGCAAGAAAAATGTAGCAAGAAATATACTGATGTATTTACCTTGAGAGAAAACAGTTCTAACCAACTGGGTTACGACAAAGACAAAACGCAATATGTAATTGAAATAAGATACTTTGATATTTTCAACAATTTTTATCGAATAATTTCGGTTAATTAATAAGTGTTTTTATGCTTAGAAATATTAACTCTAGTGTTATTTTTTGTTGACACACACAATGTTCATGATATGGCTCAATTATATTATGCAACTCTTTATAGAAGTTAAAACGACCATAGTCTGTTGAACAATATTGTTATTTCATTTATATTAGTTGATTAAACTGATTCACTGAAGCATAAAATAATATATTGCGATCATGGCCTGCAAATGTGGTAGACAGATATATAATATAGTTAATATTGATATAATTTCTCATTACTGGATATACAATGATGATCATAACGTGAACGCGTTTAATGAACGGGTGACATTGTTTTAGACAGAATTTGTGATCGGTTGAGTAGCTGTATGAAGGAATCGGTTCAGTGGTTTGAGATATCTCCAGTTATCTATATGTATATTAATAATAATGTTACGTTTCATTGGCACGTATGTTTATGTTAAATAATAATTTTTATAATTTGCATTCCACGCAAATACATTATCTAACAAATCTAGAAACAATATTCTGCCATTACTCACTGAAAATTGTAATGATCACTCTTTCAGCCGAACACCCACTCTATTAAATCTACTCTTTTTCCTTAACATCCTATTATCCTATATTGATAAATCAATCATTATTTTTTTCCTGGGCTTATGCTTGATCTATGCTGTGACGAAAAATATATAAACCTGGTATCATGTATTTGTTATGGTTTCAATAATACCTTTTACGTTTGCATTCCGTTTTCTTAAATTAACCCTAAACTTGCGTTAATTCAAATTGTAGCTTAGCCATAATTTTAGCCAATCAATTAGTTTTTTTCTGAATGTTATTTCTTGGTATGTCATGGGACTTTTAAAAACAAACGGCTTAATTATTAATTTATAATATTCTTATAATTAAACGAATATGTTTTATACTAAAATAAAGTACTTATGTATATAGTGCATTTATTCAATGATGTTATTCACAGGGCGTATCGGGTATGCATGTTCACATTTATTAACACACACAGTCATATTATACATTTAGGTACAATATATCCAACAAAAACCTTACAGTGAAAAGGGCCAAATTCTAGACCACCTCTCGATAAAATCAGCCTATCAAAGTAGTGATATCTACATTGTGGCCAAGTCTGCTATTTCTTTAGTTCATAACCTCACTTCATTCCTACTTTCATGAGCGACAGTGCTCTTTTATTTGTATTGCTTAACACTTGGCCAGTTTTTGAATGGAACATAACCTTTCTGAATGTGGTAGACTTGGTCGCAATGTGGATACCACTACTTTGATTGGCTGATTTTTTTTTTGGAGTTATCTCCTCCTATCTCCCACGTAACTCTTAGGTAAGTGCATTTGATAATGATGTTTTATGCTTCATTTTATTATTCAGAAAATTGTCTGCCGGGCATTGACAATGTAATGCAGCAGAGCACGTGGAACTAATGTTTAGCACTGTTTGCGTCGGATACGATTTTTATGCA